GAGAGAGAGAGAGAGAGAGGAAAAACACCCTACGGCTCGCGTCGTTCACTTCAAAGATCCAGCTCTAAGAGCCGTTTCGTTCGCGACCGACACATCTATATTGTGATGGCCAGCAGGGGGCGACTCCTTTCATTGGAAAAAGACAGATTTTATTTTGCAGTCAAATTGATGGTGAAGAGGAATGTGGTGCTGCTACGGCTGCCAGCAGACTGCTGAGGTCGCCCGTAGTTTGTCTGCAAACACTCGCTCACTGCTCTCTAAGTAGTAATGAAAGTGAAAAACACAAACTGGAAACGGCTCACTTTCAAAGTAAAAGTTGTGCCCCAGCAAAACAGCTAATATGTTTCAATGTGTACCTTTACTTTAAAAGCAAGAATTCTGCATTACTGGTGATGTCACTTTTTCCTGAACTGCGTGTCTGAACTGCTTTACAGACGCGTCGGCGTCTTCCATGTAAACTACAGGCGACTGTGGCCATGTGACCAAAGTGATCACAAAGAGATTTTTGGTACAGCACCGTCGTTGTGACCAGTTTCACCCGGCGACAGCCAGCAACTGCAGGAACCACTGGCCAGCTGCTCGTAGAATTCATATGTTTTTACACTGAATACAGTGCACAACTCTCGGGTAATGTGCAAACCATACTTAACAAACTGTTAGACGCTTTTCATTTAGTATTAAGGGGAGTCATGAAATGGTACTCACTGTAACCCATCCCCTGCACAAAGTACTTGAAGGCCTCGGCTAGTTTTCCAGGCTGGTGAAAAACAAAACACAAATTTCCTCAATTTGACACAATTACTAACAACTACAAACATTAAAGTTGTATTAAGTTTCAAAACTTCAAATATGAAGGACAAATCCTGGTCCTAATCTTTATTACAACAGGATTATTTTCTTATTACTACAACATGGTGGAGGAGAAGGAACAAGCAGGGAGTTGCTGAGGCTCACCTGAACCACCTGAGGAAGTCCTCCACAGTCTGCCATCTAGTGGAGACACAAAAAAACATCATGGGGATAAAACAGCGACCCTTTAAACCAGGGGTCTCAAACTCCAGTCCTCGAGGGCCTAACATTCATTCACTCATGAGCTGCTGTAACATGAATCAAATGACTGAATTGCCTCCTCAGCATGCAGTCAAGTTCTAGAGTCTTGCTAATGACATACTAATTGTAGTCAGGTGTGTTGCAACAGGGACACATGGAAAGGTTTCAGGACAGTGGCCCTCGAGGACTGGAGTACGAGACCCCTGCTTTAAACGCTACGATGACCAAAACTAACAAGCACATTAAAGTCTAGGTTTGTAAGGCTACGTTCACACTGCAGGTCTTGATGCTCAATTCCGATTTTTTGATCAAATCCGATTTTCTTGTCTGCTCGTTCACACTACAAATAAAATGCAACAGCAAACGCGCTCTAGTGTGAACCCTCAAAGCGCCCGCATGCGCAAAAGAAGACGTCACACACAACGTGCTCTGTTTAGACCCAGAGCAAACTATATTGTTTGACTGATGGCCCTTAATATAAAGACTTCGGACTTCATGT